CATCCATCCATCCATCCATTTTCTTCCGCTTATCCGGGGTCGGGTCGTGGGGGTAGCAGCCTAAGTAGTGAGGCCCAGACTTCCCTCTCCCCAGCCCCTTGGTCCAGCTCCTCCGGGGGAATCCCGAGGCGTTCCCAGACCAGCTGAGAAACATAGTCCCTCCAGTGTGTCCTGGGTCTTCCTCTGGGCCTCCTCCCGGTGGGACGTGTCCAGAACACCTCACCAGGGAGGCGTCCAGGAGGCATCCTAAACAGATGCCTGAGTCACCTCAACTGGCTCCTCTCGACGTGGAGAAGCAGCGGCTCTACTCCGAGTCTCTCCCGGATGATCGAGCTTCTCACCCTATCTCTAAGGGAGAGCCCAGACACCCTGCGGAGAAAACTCATTTTGGCCGCTTGTATCCGAGATCTCGTTCTTTTGGTCACAACCCAAAGCTCATGACCATAGATGAGAGTAGGAACGTAGATCGATCGGTAAATTGAGAGCTTTGCCTTTTGACTCAGCTCTCTCTTCACCAAGACAGACCTGTACAGCACCCGCTTCACTGCAGACGCTGCACCTATCCGCCAATTGATCTCACACTTCATTTTTCCCTCATTCGTGAACAAGACCCCAAGATACTTGAACTCCTCCACTTGGGGCAGGACCTCCTCCCTGACACGGAGAGGGCAATCTACCTTTTTCCGGCTCAAGACCATGGCCTCTATGTTGGATTTTATACCTGGATTATTGAGAATGGACTTTGTTGTTTTCAACCAGTTTGACAAGACTGTCAACAAGGAAGAGGGCCGGCAATGGAGGAGGGGGCGTACTAAAGAGACCATCTTATCAAAAGCAGAACTGGTTTGTTCCACTTTGGATTAAGCTGTTGGGGGAAGAATCAGTTTTGTTGTGTGTTTCCTTGACTGATGAAGCCTTCTGGATTGAAGGCGAAACGTTTCAGCATAAAAAAAAATAAACTGTCCAGATGACCTGACTGAAAAATGTTGGCATCTGATTTTACAATTCACAAATATGTTTGTGATTTTTGATACCATGATTTTTCAAAATTTGTTTTACTCTTAATTACTGGGAAAATATTGCAATATGTATATTTGTCCAATTTATCAAAAGTGAACGATGGTACGTGCTCCTCGCTGGTGTCTGGTTGTGCTCAGCGTGTGTTTCGGCCAAACATTTTACTACAATAGTTCGAGTTGATCATGATGCTTCTTCTTTAGTTATGTTGCTCTTGATATTAATCTTGTTGTTTGTTTGATAGCGTTTGCCCTTGGGGTGAAGGAGTCAAGGGCTGGTGTACGGTTTTCAAAGTGGAAAAAAAAAAGTTATACTTTTTTAAAATATTTTATATATGCCATGTGTATCTAACATGTTGCTATTCTCCTTTGATGTCCGGTGAGCCCGGGTGCAAGTACTGTTCCCAACTAATCGAGCAGCAGCTCAGCCGTGAGCCCCTCTCTGTCCCAAAGTGCTCACAGGTCGTTAAAATCAGAGTCCCCCGCTGCACTCGGAGCAGAGAAACATGCTACATGCACACAACCGCCACTGATCCCACTCTGACTGAAAGACGCATGAGATATGACAATAATTTTACCTCAGTACAATATAAGACATGGGTTTCATGCCTCAGCTTTACTCTAAATAGGATTTGTGTAAGTCAACATTGTTCTGTATGCTTTGGGGGTGTGGTGTGAACCTCCTCTTTATCCTGTCTTTGAAAAAGATACAAGGCAAGATTACACAAAGTGTCAATCACACGCTTTGACCAACGCAGCTCTGACGTTGTGATGCCTCACAATAAGATGATCTTACTTTAACAATCTGCCATGAAAGACTGCAGGCAATGATCGTTTCTTAAAGAAATGTTAGGCATTTAATTAGTTAGATATGTTTACAGCATCACATTTCATTGATCAATTATTGATGCAGGAATCCTGGCTGCTGTGTTTTGTTGGCTGCCCGTATTAATTTGTGAATGTGAACAAGTCCTGGGCACATAAATGAACCAAAAACAAGCTGAAAGCTCAGTATATTATTAACTCTGGGTGCAAAATGTCCGGGCGGATGATATTTATTTGTGTTTGGCTGTCATGATGCCTTCTGTATAGCTGTGCACATTGAAAATATAAGCACTTACAGAAAGTAGAGTTAATGTGTTTGCGATATTTTAATTCACTGCTGACATTGCCTTTATGCACTCATTTGATTTCATTGCGTAAGAAAAGAAGGCAAGTGTTGCAAAGCTAGAGGGCCAAACTGTGGAGTCAGAATTTGACACAGTCTAACATTCATGATCAGCACACTGTTTTAACACGATTATTCATATTTAATACATTAAAAACA